TCTTCTACATTCTGTTTTTTTAAATGAATTATTTGATTGTTAAATCGCCAATCTTTACGCAATACATCAAAAGCATCTTTAATCTAACATAATTGGGCTGTGGTGTGACCATGTTATATTTTTTTTTAACCAGATTAAGTATGGCCACATTTCCTAATATAAGATCAATTCTAGAGAAAGGATTTATTGTTCTAGAGTAACATGTAAAATCAATCTCAGGAGGATGAAATGTTCTCCATATGTCTGAGATAATATTTATTTAGTAGTTGTTTTTTTTTTTTTTCTAGCTTTGGTTTTTTTATAGTTCCTTCTGTCTTTAGAAAAAAACTACTATGCAATTAAACTCACCTATAATTAATATCCTCCCTATTTAATCTGATTGATTTTCTTCAGTATTCTTGCAATAAATATTGTTAGGGACTTATTTGGTGCATAGATATTAACTAGTGTGAACATTTTGTTATTTATTACACATACTAAAATAATACTGGAGCACTGGAAGAAGGCGATCTTGCCGAAACGCGTCTGCTGACAGCACAGGCACTTTGCTATTTTACTCTTTGGGTAACTAAATTGGGGGTGAGTGATACCTAATGAGAGTTTTTTACTACCACTATATATATATATATATATATATATATATATATATATATATATTAGTACCCATTTTGTTAGTATTATCATTTTGCTTGTTCTATTTTATACAATAAAGTATTTTATACTGAAGATCCATCATATTTTTTTTGCATTCTGGGGATATTGAGACATTTAGGTATCTGTGGCACCCAAGAGCCTGTTATATAGAGCATGGGACGGCTCTGGGCCATGTGAGTGATATTCCAACTCCATCTCTTATCTCTTGTTCCTCTTGATCTAATTCTTGATATTTAATATATACATTTTAAGAAAACATAAAAGCAATGTCTCTTTTTTTTCCTCTCTTCTAGAGCAGCATTTACAATAATTGGGTGTTTTTCTTAATTTATACTGATTTTGTCAGATTTTTTCCAGTGAGTTTCTTGAAGCGCACAGATCTCTACTTGATTTTCCCCCAAGAAATCTAAAAATAAAGCTATTTTGAACTATGTATTGATCCCACAGGCATTTATTGAAACTAGCTTAATGTGTTGGTTTCTATTTTTTTGTTACTTTTTACATTATTACAAATTAATATATAAAGTAATACATTGTTCATTTTACAGTCTGTTCAGCCACCTCATTTCATTCCTTAACAATTCAAATCATTTTGTATAAGCAAAAAACAGGGTGCGAGAGAATACTGAGAATGGACAGCAGCTGAAATAGCCTGCCCTTCGGTGGGTCCCCTTCAGATCTCAAGCTGGTTTTAGCTCATCTTGTGCCATTACAGAAAGAACATCTCTGAAACATATCAGACTGGTCCCACCCATACAGGCAGTCCAGATCCGTAATGCCAGCAAATTCCCCCTGCACGAGAGACACAGCAACCCCAGTCGATCGTTTCAGCCTTGTTAGGCATCATCAGTGAGGCATAGCTGATATCTCTCCAGGCATTTTGTATAAGCAACACAGTGGTCGTCCACAGCAGTAAATGATCACACAATCCTTTATACACATTTATATGACTTACACTTATTCTATTTCTCAATCTATTAGTTTATACTCCATCCTGTTCTATCTATATACTGGCTAGTTAGTATTGATTTTGGTCAAACTGTAAGTATGTCATTATCCATGGTGACTCTAAAACAAATATAATCAAAAACACTGATTAACCCCTTAAGGACCGAGGACGGTTCAGGACCGTCATCGGCATTTTTGCCTTGCCGACCGATGACGGTCCTGAACCGTCCTAACGGTCTGGGGGTACTTACCTGATCGCCGTCGTTCCCCCGGCGGCGATCAGTGTTCCTCCGGTTGTGGGGAGACTGCCTGCAGCCTAGACAGTCTCCCCACGGCAGATTAGGACCCCTGTGGCCATGTGATCGCTTAACACAGCGATCACATGGTCACAATAGGTGTCCATGTGTCTGCCTGCAGGGGGACTGCCTGTGCTGACAGGCAGTCTCCCTGCATGTGTAAAATCAGAAAAAAAATAAAGTTAATGTTAATTAAAAAAATAAAATACTATATATATATATATATGATATATAGACATATATATTATATCTATATAATATATGTCTATATATCATATATATAAATATACTATGTATTTTATATTAATATGTACTTATATTAATATAAAATACAATTTATAATTGCAATTACAATTTATATATATAATATATATAATAACTATATATATTGTATATATATATATTATTATAAAATATAAATAATAAGTAATTTAAATTAAATAAAAAATTTTTAAATAATAATACAAAATTTAAAAAAAATTATATAGCTATATGAAATTTTATTCTAACTGTATTTTAAAATTAATATATATATATTTATATCAAAATACACTTAGAATGAATTTTTATATATATCTATGTATATAAAAATAAATAAAAATAATAAGAAATATACATACGTCCATATACAAAATTACATAAATAATTATATAAATATACACGGAGACTTCAAATATATAAATATGCATATATATTTAAATTCTACGTGCGTATTTATGTAATATTTTTACATAATTCAGTAATTTTATTGATTGCAATTTGAGGGACCTACCTGCCAACCCAGGCCGAAATTCCAGGGAATTTAATTTGCTAGCACTGTATTTTACCCTGTAACGTTCTATGACACCCTAAAACCTGTACATGGGGGGTACTGTTTTACTCGGGAGACTTCGCTGAACACAAATATTAGTGATTCAAAACAGTAAAACATATCACAAAGGATGATATTGTCAGTGAAAAGCATTTTTTGCATTTTTCACACACAAACAGCACTTTTACTGATGATATAATTGTTGTGATACGTTTTCCAGTTTTTAAACACTAATATTTGTGTTCAGCAAAGTCTCCTGAGTAAAACAGTACCCCCATGTACAGGTTTTATAGTATTTTTGAAAGTTACAAGGTCAAATATGGGTCAAATATTTTTACATTGAAAATGGCTAGGTTGGTTACGTTGCCTTTGAGAGCGTATGGTAGCCCAGGAATGAGAATTACCCCCATGATGGCATACCATTTGCAAAAGAAGACAACCCAAGGTATTGCAAATGGGGTATGTCCAGTCTTTTAGTAACCACTTGGTCACAAACACTGGCCAAAATTAGCGTTCAATTTAGTTTTTTTACTTTTTTCACACACAAACAAATATGAATGCTTACTTTGGCCAGTGTTTTCGACTAAGTGGCTGCTAAAAAAGACTGGACATACCCCATATTGAATACCCTGGGTTGTCTACTTTAAAAAAAATATGTACATGTGGGGTGTTATTCAGAGATTTATGACAGATAATAGTGTTACAATGTCACTATTGATAAATTTTAAAATGTATGTTTTGAAACCGCAATATCCTACTTGTACCTATAGCCCTATAACATGCAAAAAAAAGCAAAAAAGCACGTAAACACTAGGTATTTTTAAACTCAGGACAAAATTTTTAATCTATTTAGCAGTTTTTTCATTCGCTTTTGTAGATGAGTAAAAGATTTTTCAAGTAAAAGTCAAAAAACATGTATTTTTTTCAATTTTTCATCAGATTTTTGTATTTTTTAAATTAAAATACATGAGATTATATAAATAATGGTATGTAAAGAAAGCCCCTTTTGTCCTGAAAAAAACAATATATAATTTGTATGGGAACAGTAAATGAGAAAGTGGAAAATTACAGCCAAACACAAACACCACAAAAGTGTAAAAATATTCCTGGTCGCAAATGTACAACATCGCAAAAACAGTCCAGTCCTTAAGGGGTTAAATAATATAGAAAAACAAATAAGAACAAATAAAACAAAAAATAGATAAAAACAAATACATGTGCTAATCCTTTTTTCCATAAGTTTGCAATTTCAACAATTTTTTTTTTTTAGCAAATCTATCCAGACAACTATGTTAGTTATTCTCCCCTTCTGGGGCCCCTATCAAATTTGAAATATTTTATCACTCAATAACACTATCTTCAGTGAGTATTGAATATCTTTATTCCTAAATATCTAACTGATTAATTGATTTCTCCTTGCTACCTACTTTTCAACTATCATTTTCCACCAAATTTAAAAAAAAATAGTTTGTTACCTATTATCCTATATGCGATCTCCTCATAATTGTTTTGCATTAGAAATCTTTTCCTTTATTGTATGTATTGATGGTACTTGTGTTGTTTTCCATAAGCTAGCTATTGCAATTTTTGTGGCCATTAAGATATGTATCATCATTGTGGTTTTCTGCTTCAATAGCCTCTCTGGCATAATATGTAACAAATAGATATCTGGTTGTAGGGGCACCAAAATATTTGTAACATTAAATATCAATTGTTGAATATGTTTCCACATAGCAGTAATCATTTCACAGTACCAAAACATAAGGGGCATAGACCCCTCCGATTCCCCGCACCTCCAACATATCTCCAAATTCCCTGGATATTCTTACCAATCTTTGGGGTGTCATATATCATCGTGACCATATTTTATATGTTGCCACTATGTATTATATACTGTGAGTGGTGACATTGGTCAGTCTCATAGCCCTATACCACTGTGAGGATTCCCATTCCATGTTTAATTCCTTCTCCCATTCTAACATAAAATACAGTTAATCAGCTTTTGCTTTGTTTAATAATTCTCTTTAACATATTGAAAGAGCTTGGGATCTCCCCTCGAGGCATAATTTACAAAATTATCACCTCTACCAATTGAAATTTTATTAAAATGTGTTTCATTCTGAAATATGTATATAGCTCCCTATTATGTAATCCGTATTTGGTTTGTATATCTGGGATTTGATATATAACTGTACCTGTTATTAAATGTTGAACTTTTATCCCATTTTTTTCTCCATGTTGATACATTTAAATCTTTTGTGTAGTAAATTAGACTTTGCAAAGTTCCATAGTAAAGATAGTTATCTTTTCTCAAACGTTTAGGGGCCCAATTCCTCTACATCAACAAAGATGTTTGTGTTGCGGATACAAAATTAAGATTTGCAGGTTCTACTCGGTGTGCTACCCACATAAATTTTAATATCTCATGGCAATAGATTGTTCTAATGTATGCCATAGTGGTGTGTTGTTTTTATCTATTAGCGCCAATGTTTCTGCAAGTAAGGATGCTATATAATATTTCTGAATGTGCGGTACTCCCATACCACCCTCTGTGATTTTATGGCTCATTGTGTTTAATGATATCCTTAGGGGTTTACGTTTCGAGTTGTGTGCATTTATAATATTCTGGAATTTTGTTAAAATTAACTTAGGGATCATTATTGTTATAGTTCTAAAAAGAAAAATAATCTGTGGTAGGATGCACATTTTAATGGAAAATTCGTCCCACCCATTAGGAAGTACCCTGGTCCCAATGCTGTAATGTGTCTTGTACCTCTTTCAATAATTTGCAATGATTATTCTCTATCACAACCTGTTTCGAAACTGACAGCTGAATTCCCAAATATTTTATCGAATTCTTTCTCCACTCAAATGGGTATTCCGTTTTCAACAACTGCATTGTTGATTGGCCATATTTCTAGGTAAAGCTTGGGTTTTAACTATATTGTTTTTATAATATGTAGGGTTGTAAAAACATTTGTCTTCTTTGGACCAATGGCATTCAGTTTGGTTCGGAACTTCGGTGTCACAGTTCTCACCGCGACATCCCGACGGCCAGACGAGGTCGCCCCAGAAGTGCCCGCTGACGGACTTGAACCACGGTACTTTGCAGTCCTGGGGCTGCTACTTTGCCTCTGAGCCACCATATCAGCTCTAGAGATAGACAGAAGTCTATCTTGCCTTGTACCCAGCATTGGGGGCTGGACGTTATTCTGTGGCTGCTCCAACGATCTCAGTACACCTGTGGCTGATCACAAATTAGCCAGGTATAAGACACTGCCTCTCCCTGAGGGCAGTGTCAGTTCATTGACTCTGGTTCCCTTGTTTGGTTCTTGTCTTGCTATATCTGCGTTCCAGTATTTCCTGTCTGATTCCGGCTTCTGACCTTGGCTTTCCTCCTGGACTACTCTGATATCTGGCTTCCCCTGACTTTGGCTTTCCTTGACTACGCTTCTGCTAATCCCTGCTGTACTGCTACTTGGAGCACTATTGCTGGAAAGCCCCCGTGCACAGACTCGCAGATCAGGTGGCGTCTTACCTGGTCACCCTGGTCTGTGTCTACTTTGCAAGGGTGAGTGTATAACTCTGCGAGCCGGACTCCCCATCAGGTAAGATCCTGACATAATGAACTGACCATATGGAGTCTGCAGAGTTATACAAATTACTCACCTCCCTGGCTGAACAAGTCTCCAACCTGTCCCAGAATGTTATGGATTTGCAGAGATGTTCATTGGCATTTAAAGGAGCAGTACATCCAATCCCGGAACATACATACCCAGAACCCTATGTCATTATGCCTGACAGGTTTGACGGTTCCCGTTCTGCTTTCCCGATGTTCAAGAAGGATTGTGAGCTACTGTTTGCCCTGAAACCTAGAACCTACGCCACCGACCTTATCAGAGTCCGCTCTGCTATTAACCTGTGTACTGGGCGGATTAAGGCGTGGGCACACCAGAAGCTGCAGGAGAGAAGTACTGTCTTGGACTCCTGGGAGTTGTTCATGTCTGCAATGGACTCTCAGTGCTTTGCATCAAGGAAAGCAACTCCCAAGCCTACTTCAGGTTCTCGCAGAACTCGGTTGCCTAGAGAAGAGGAATTATTTTATGAATACAAGAATCCCATGTCGCTACAGTCTAAACCTACCTCCAAGGACCTACCTTGTCATCATAATGTTACCCATGTGGAACTTGGCACTCTAGAGGACAAGGAGGAACCCATGGAGATCGGCTTCATCCGCACTAGAACCAGACTGCCATCTAGAGAAAGAGACAGAAGGAGGGCTTGTTGTCTCTGTTTCTATTGTGGAGAAGGAGGGCACTTTATCTCCCACTGCCCTATTCGCCCAACTCGGCCTAAGCCTCTTCAAGTAGGTACTACTCAGCTTCATCCTGTTATCCCGGCAACACAGCCAGAAAAATGTCAAGGGTACTGTCGGATGTTTCCACGTTCCGTGACGCAGAAGAGTACCCAGACTACGATGGCTACTGATGCCAGTGTCTCTCAAGAACAAATAATCGGTGATCATGAGAGTTCACCACCTCCAGAAGACTCTCCTGTTAAAACTGGTACCACCACCACTTCCTGTCTGCCCAAAGGAGAACTACCTGCGGATTGCACCTATGGTACCAAGGTCCACAGAACAGATCTGGAAACGTTTGAAAGGGCTTTGAAAGCCGTGAACTCTGCTCCTGGTGACTCACCTAAGAAAAAAAGTTCAGAGAAAATGACTCCTGGGATCAAGGTACTTACCACCTCCACCAAATCCATGAATAACCTTGACCTCTTTCCATTAGTACCCAAAACTGGTACCATAAAGTCCCAGGCTGTAAAGGGACTCCACTCTGGAGACTTTGATTACAAAGACTATCTTAGTGATACTGAGACCGAAGATGAGGAGTACTATTTTCAAGAAGAACCTGTTTACGCCCGGAGGGCGTTCTTGAAGGGAGGGTACTGTCACGGTTCTCACCGCGACATCCCGACGGCCAGACGAGGTCGCCCCAGAAGTGCCCGCTGACGGACTTGAACCACGGTACTTTGCAGTCCTGGGGCTGCTACTTTGCCTCTGAGCCACCATATCAGCTCTAGAGATAGACAGAAGTCTATCTTGCCTTGTACCCAGCATTGGGGGCTGGACATTATTCTGTGGCTGCTCCAACGATCTCAGCACACCTGTGGCTGATCACAAATTAGCCAGGTATAAGACACTGCCTCTCCCTGAGGGCAGTGTCAGTTCATTGACTCTGGTTCCCTTGTTTGGTTCCTGTCTTGCTATATCTGCGTTCCAGTATTTCCTGTCTGATTCCGGCTTCTGACCTTGGCTTTCCTCCTGGACTACTCTGATATCTGGCTTCCCCTGACTTTGGCTTTCCTTGACTACGCTTCTGCTAATCCCTGCTGTACTGCTACTTGGAGCACTATTACTGGAAAGCCCCCTTGCACAGACTCACAGATCAGGTGGCGTCTTACCTGGTCACCCTGGTCTGTGTCTACTTTGCAAGGGTGAGTGTATAACTCTGCGAGCCGGACTCCCCATCAGGTAAGATCCTGACATTCGGTAATTAGGACCCTAACACTAACCCCTAACCACTTGTTTTGCCCCTAGCCCCTAACCTTAACCCCTAACCCTAACCACTTGTTTTGCCACTTTTCAGAAATCCAAAGCACTTCTGCAATTCGG